AATGTGGCACTCAGCACCGAGCACATGCCACATATCACAAAGGTGTTTTCACCTGTTTGCTCCCAGATCCTTCCTTGACTTGCCCTGTTCTCCGGAGACACTGCCTCCTGGGGACTGTGCCTCCTCTGGGTCTAATCATGGGAAGGCCTTGGAGGGAGAAAACAGATCTGAAGCAAAGGGGAACTCAGGATGTCTCCATTCTCTGCATTAGACGGATCTCTAATCATAGTCATGTCTCCTCTGTGGCCCCAGCTCTTACTGGTCAGGCCCATTAGGCTATCCATCTCTGTTGGGTGGCCCTGCACACAGGGTTCCAGTATCAACATCTGCCTTCTTATACTGAGAGTTAGGGGTTTCCTGTCATTGCTGAGTTCCTATGCCTCCTGCTCCTTCCTTCACCTGTATAATCAATTGCATGCATATGCTTCTTGTATTTAAATGCTTAAATCATCTTATAGTTATACTCTGAATACACTTCCCAGTTGGCATTTGGAGAACATTTGCTGAATTTTATTGCCTAATTCCAAACCAACTTCTATGTGGGCATCTCTTTTTTGAGTGCCACAGGGGTGAGTCCTGTAGCAGTTATCTAATGCATAATAACATCACTTGAGGTTCCTTTGGGGTAATGACAAATTACCCCAAAATTCAGAAGTTTGAAACAGTTAGTATTCGTGAGAGTCCACAAGTCTAAGGAAGGGTTGGCTGAGTGGTTCTTCCAGACCCAGCAGGACTCACTCAGACACCTGTGGTCAGCTGTATGTCAGCTGGGTGACCTGACAGAGACAACTGATGCAAACCAACTACACTGTGTATTTCCCACCCAAGACAGGGAGCTCAGTCATGTTCTCATGGCAATCATAGAAGAGCAGGGAAACACACATAATAAGTACTTTTTCAAATTGATATATATGCAGCATATCTGACAATATCCTACTGCGTAAAACATGTCACATGACCAATAACAGGATCAAAAAGCACATAAAAATATTCAGCCTCTTCAAGAGGCAGAACTACAGTGACATGATAAAGGGTAGATGAAGAGAAAGACGGAGCACTGGGCCTAGTGTTAACAATGCTATGTTGTAGATTAAAAAAATAATAATAATAACTTTTAAGAGGATAGCTCTCATGTTAAGTGTTTTACCACAATTTTAAAAAAGAAAACAAAAAGCAAAACTACAGAAAAAAAAAATCCGTCCTGCATTAACAAAGCTTTCTCAAGCAAAACCAAAAGAATTAAGAGTCTTTGGCATCAGTATACCAGTGTCAATAAGAATGTATTCATCAACCCAGCACAGAAAAAAATACATGGATAAATCATAGGGAGAAAGACAGAAGGAAGGAAAGAAAGAAGGAAAAGGTGGGAGATAAATTCACAGAATAAGACAAAGGCTTTTAAAGATATCAAAAGATTCTCAACTTTATTTACCCCAGAGATGTGTGAGTTCAAACTCACATCAATATATAAAGAATAATGTTGGATAACGTGTGTTATCAAAGGTATGGGGAAACAGTGACTTTCAGACACAGAATATAAATTGAAACAACCTCTGTGGAGTCTAATTCAGAAATGTCAATCAAAATGTAAAAGCGTGCATACTCATTAAATAGCCAATTCCATTTCTCCAGGTTTGTCCTACACATTACCTTATGGGTGAGAACTGGCACTTGTGCATAGTGATACAATGAAGTCCTATTTGGAATAGCAAAAGGAAAGACTTCACTGGCCTTCAATAAGTGTGATTTTGATTTAATGATATAAGGAGAAACTATGTAACTGTCAAGATAAAATTTTAAAAGAATGTATAAGTCCTTTTAAAACAAGCAAAAGAGACTAGGGCTGTAGCTGAGTGGTAGAGTTCTTGCCTAGTGTGTGGGAGGCATTGGGTTCCATCCCCAGGACCATCACAGATAAGGAATGTCAGCTACTCATGCCACTCAGTCTATCTCAGGCTACAGACATCAGATTCAAGATGAATATAATGAACTTTTGCCATGTCATTAACCCTGAAGAAATAAATTCAATATAAATGTAGCTCCTTTAAAACTTTGCAATAAAATGCTCATTATGTATTTGCCAGTTTATTCTGTGCAGTTTCATATGCACAGAGTTACTGCTCTCTCCCCTCAAAATAGACCAAATAAAGAGCCATTTATAAATAACAGATTAATAAACCAAGTCAAAAGGACTTTATTTATCCTTTAACCTTCAATTTGCTTTAATTGGGAGCAGCCATGGGAATTAGTGCCAACCTCACCTCGGGTCAGATGGCCTACCAAAATGAACTGTTTCATGCCCAGAAATAAATGTATTCCAAATATAAATATGAATCAGTTACAAAACAGATTCTTTTCAAACTACAAAATAACTGCACTGTTAATATATTTGTGCCCCAATTAAAAATGTGTAATGAACGCATGCTCTGAGCTAAAGTTGTCCAGGGGAGTGATTCTCATTTTTGCCTTGAAACTCATGTAAACAAAACTGGGAAGTCTCCTGTGAATGAGCAAATTCACAGCTTCTTCTTTTCTAAAGAGAAGACAAATTTAAAATGGATATGTTTAAGCTGGAAAGGCTTAGGATGTGACCTTGCTCCTTTAAATTTCCTGACAAGGAAATCACATTGAATTTGTCTACTTTGAAGGGCTCTGATACGATTTGTTCTCAATTAGGGACAAATCATGGAAAAAAGATGCTCTGTTTGTATTACAGCAAAATTTGGAAGTCACCTCAGTGACACTGTTTTTCAGTTTCTTCTCAGCAGTTTTGTCTTTTCTTCTCAGCCTGTTTTCACAAGGCCCATGACATCAGTCTGCCTGGGTAAGATCCCTGCTAGGCTCTTGTTCACTGTTTGACTTTGGGCAAAATATCTAACCTTTCTCTGCCTCTTTTTTTCTCATCTTGAAAATGGATTTTAAATAATTTTACCTACCTCATATCATGAGGATTAAATTGCGAAATGAAGTGAAATAAGTAGCACAACCCAGACCACAAACTGCTGAATAAATGTTACATATTAATGCTTATTGTTGTTAATTACATCAGAATTCATTTTGTTTTCATGGAGTCAAGTTCATATATATTCTTCAAAGTCTATATCAGACTTACACTTTCAAATATGTTTATATATATATATATATATATATATATATATATATATATATATATACACACATAAATATGTTGTGTTTATGCAAAAGGCACTGTTTATTCTTAGACATAATGTCAGGGTAAGGATATATATTTACTCAAAATTTGCACAATGTCATAACAACAATTAGAAACATGAGCTGCTTCTTGGTTTATTAATCTCCTCTTTTGAGCATGCTTTTAGGAGAGAGCATGCTTTTAAATGTTTTGGTCTTCAACCTCATGCTATCAGGGTTTCTGAGGGTCTAGTAAACAGGGAAGTTGAAGGTGTCAGATTAGAAGGCTTATGACAAGAATAGTCGAGAGAAATCTTGAAGGAATGGGATAAATACAACTTCAGAATCTTCCTATAGATTGTTTAAAATGGAAGAAAATTAATAACAAGCCAGTCGATTTATAATAAAAATATGCATTGACTTTCTACATTTGGAGTGTGTGTTTTGCACTGTCATAATGTGGCAGAGTCAAAGTAAACACAAGGCAAGGTGACATCCTCAGGAAGCCCAGAGTGGAGCTAGGGATACAGCTCAGTGGCAAAGCACTTGCCTAGAAGCCCAGAGTTGAGTAGCAGAGAAAATCTGCACATACACACATGCATAAGCACACCCACACATAACCAACAATCACTTTAATGATATAACTAGTGCTTTTATGGTGCCATAAACGATGGGTGTTGGGGGAAAATACAATAACCAAGTATATATTTATTCAACTCAGCAGTTAAAGGGAATGAGCTGCTCTAGATGATCAGGGTTAAAGCTCACATGCATAATGTGGAGTCACAAATCTAGATGGGGAGATACATATAGAGAGATTCATATCACACAGGTAATTAAAAACACACAAACACTGTTCATTGCCCTGGAAACATAGATATGTATGTGAATGCAAAAAAAAGTGTTCTGGAAAGGTATAAACAGATTTATGAACTGGGCTTAGGGTAGACTGGTCAAGGAGATTATACCTCTGCTCTATTTTTCTTAATTGAACACAAAGAACAGGAATTACAAAAAAAAAATGTTAACAGTGATCCACTCTGGGTGGTAAGAACCCAGATTTTCTCCTGACCTCAGGTTTTCCATGATTTCTAAGTTCACCTTAACAGACACTACAAAAATCATGGGGCCCCAATTGAAAAGCAGTTTCTCACTTGCAGTATAGACAGACACCGAAAGACATCTGCTGCCACATGAACAGATGCCACATCTGTTTGGCTGCCCCAGTCATCTTGTTTGTGTCTGTGGGAGGTATTCCCGATATGATCACACTTCACCCAATCTAGATGGTTCCATAGCTTGGAGCTCGGGTGGCTCCCCTGACATATGCCCTGATAGATCTGCCCTTTCCCCAGAGGTGCCACCCAGCAGTGTCTCTGCCATGGCAGGGATGCAGCATTTATCTAAGTCCTATCCCATGACCCAGCCTCTGACATAAAGCTGGGTCCACTTGAGCACAGAATTCCTAATTGGTTTGAAATTCACATTTGTCTTTCAGTCATCTTCCCAGGCTTGGGATCCAAAACTCATGGGTCTTGTTCCTGAAATTCCACAGAGAAATAGGTCTTTGGGAGCCAGGAAAGTTGTCCCATGCTTATAATATGTGATATCAGCCCTTGTGTTCAGGTCCCTTTCCCTGAAACCATGTCCCCTTCACAGTGAGATTTTTATCTTAAGTCAATTTGCATTTATTCAAAATCAGAGACAGGTCTGAAACCAGAAACTATTTAAGCATTGAAATCAGAGCAGCTGCAGATTAATCAAATGTTGGGAAAGTTTTAAAAACAAAACAACAACAACAAAAAAGAAAACCAACTTATATTTATCTTCTTGTGTTTCCTTTTCTCCAGGTCTGCGGTTTCCCTCCCGTCGGCTGACCTGCGTGGTGCCAAGTTCCACATGTGATCGAATGACGAAGAAGGTCAGATGCCAGGCTTGAGTTGGCTGTTTGCAAATTTGTGATTTTGACACTCTTGTACATTACAGGAACTGTCTTCCGATTGGTGGCATTGCTGCTTTCGTTATGTACCATAGTGAACTCTGTAGGTATTTGGGAGAAACAGAAAACATCAAATGACCTGGAAAAATAAAAGCATTAGAGAAAAGGAAGGGTAGCAATTCACTGAGGGAAAGAATAATCATAGTACAGTGGGAAAAACACTGTAGTATGATTTTTCACTTGTTTTTTCAACAGTCCTCTCCTATGGATCTATTCCCTCATTCCATCACGGAATGCTAAAACAAACAAACAAAAACCATAAGAATTAGATGAGCCATTTGGTGAGAGCAAGTCAGAGAGGGCTAAGCCCCTGTGCAGCGCTGTTCTACTTTCTCTGCTGATAAATCCTCTGACTTCTCTTTTCGTCTTGAGGTGCACATTAACATCAGGCAGCCGGCTGGAACTCTGGGTTATAATTTGGAGCCCAAGTTTGTTTTCATTATTAGAACAACACAGTTTCAGTTTGTCTCTGCATTTAAGGTTGTGTCAGCACTTTCCTTTCTGTGTTTATTATTTTTAGCAGTTTAAAAGCTCACCATGAAAAAAAAAAAATGGCTTTCTGGCAGGAGGGTAACATCCAGGCTTGGCCAGGGCCTGGTGGAGTCTATAGAAATGCTCACTGGCTGCCGGAGTCGGCTCTTTTGAATGCTGTCTTTGTGCCTCCCCTCACCCATGGCCTCTGGCCTATTGTCTAGGCGCCTCGGTTGGACTGGTGCTATCTGATTGTAACCAGTACTAATATTACAGTGCTTGGTGCCCAGGCCCTCCCTCGGGGGGGGCGGGGGGGGCCTGTCTGGCTGCCTCTGTCTTCCAACCCTTCCAACCCTCCCTGGAGGGGACCAGTCACAGTTCTCATATCAGAAAACACGAATGGTGATTTATGGAACATTCTGGAAAAGGGGTCATTAAGAGTCTTTGAGACCCGTGGTTCTCATATATAGGAGAGTTCCACTCCTCAACCCCTTCTTCATCCCACCCCCAATCAAGGTGACTTCTGTGGTCCTCCACCCCCACCAGGAAACCCAGGGCACCTCAGAATAGCTGCACACATATTTGCAGGGCAGTTCCCTTAATTTACAGATGAGGAAACTAAGGAGAGTTTTCTATAGATGCTCAAAACATGAGGCATTAGGTCCAAAAGAGTTCACAGCCTACTAATCAATTTTACTTAGTTCTAGAAAAGGCATAACCAATTAATGGTGATAGCAATCAAAATAGTGGTTACCTTGGGAGGGAAAAGGGGATTGATGGATAAGAAGCACAGGGGAATTTTCTGGAATGATGGAAATGTATATCTTTATACAAGTGTGGGTTGCATGTCGTTTATCAAGACCCATCTGTTCATTTTAATCTATGTAAATTATACTTCCATTAACAATAAAAACAAAGAGGGAACATAAAGCAAAAAATAAATTAGACATTTAGTTAATGGAAATATTGTCTCCAGAAATTGACTGTGATCAACTTTCTTAAAGCTATTTGGGCTATTTATTGAGTCGGGTCTAAGATCATTATATAAAATTTCTGAAAATCAGAGACTATGCTGTTGTTCTTCCAGTATTTTCTTTGTCCAATAATCACAAAAACAGGGGAAAATTTTTTTCTCAGATAATTTCACACAATGAATCACTGAATACGCTTTGGAGTCTCCCGACCTGTAACGTGGTTCAGGTGTGCTCCATGGGAGTTTGGGGAGTGGAGTTTGGGGAGTTTGGGGAGTCCTGATTACAACACTTGATTCCACAGCCACAGAAGCCAAAGTTCCAGGATCCTTACAGAGGCACCATTTTCAAGATGGGGTCCTCTGAGTTTTAGTGACTCTGTGACTTTTTTCTCCGCTGCAAAGAGTGCTTTGGGGTGAGGACAATTTTATTGGTTTAGATATTGGTGCCTCTCTATCAAATCCTATCTATATAAAGGGATCCACAAGTAAACACATGTGACATATATTACACATATTACATTTCCATTCTGGTTTATATTATTTCCTTAGTCAGCCAAATGATATGGAATGATAAAACTTTAAGAATTAGGTTTTCTCCTTCTAATCCATGCAGATAGACATGTACATTAGTCAGCTTTTCGTTGCTGTGCCACAAATACCCAACAAGAACAACTTAGAGGAGGCAAAGTTTATTTTGAACTTATAGGTTTCAAGGTTCAGTCCATGGTCCACCAACTCCATCACTCCAGGCCCAAGGTGAGCCAGAGCCACATGGCAGAAGCAAGTGGCAGAGGAAGCTGCTCACCTCATGGTAGCCAGGAATCAGAGAGAAGGAGGAGCTGGAGTCACAAGACATTATCCCTAAGGGCGTGCCCCCTGACACCCACTTCCTCCAGTCATGCCCCACCCGTGTACAGTTACCACCCAGTGCAGTAGTCCTTCCAAATTATTAGCCCATAAAATGACTTAGTCCATTTATTAGGTCGTGATGCACATAATCTAATCATTTCACCTCTGAACAGTTCTCCATTGACACAGGAGCTGTGTGGGGACACCTCACATCCAAACCATCACAGTGTGAGTCCAGGCCTGGCACCGTTAGGACAATTCTGCAGGATCATGTTGATCCTGAGTGAGCCTCAGAGTGATGGATAGTCTTAGTGCCAACTACACCTCCCCCAAAAGAAAAATCCCTTCTCAGCCTCTTTCCAGAACTTTGAAATAATCAGAAATATCGTGAATAAGAGCAAAGATCAAAATATGCTCAGCGCCCTCTGGAGGTGCTGAGTGTATAAATGGTGATGGGTGGCTTCCATCCAATGCCACACTGATCATTGCCAGAGAAATGAGATGCCATAGTGGGACCAGGTCCCTGGATTGAATATTGTCCAGTAATCTCTGTTTCACAGATATAAACCTCGTTTTGGTCATGCTTTCCTTTGACAAGTACTATTAATAATGCTCCAGAAATTCTTCCTCATGTTTTAATTTGCTCCTACACATCTGAGTGTTTTTTCAGTGAACTATAAAATGTAATATTCTTCTCATGTGTCTTACCAGAGTAGAACTTCTGGTGTCTGGGGGTAAAAGACAGGCCTTCACTGAAACCTTAGAAAATGGGCCATCTTGGATTCATTGTGCTCTGGGCAAGTATCAAGTACCATCAAATAGTTGCCCTTTGACCTATCTCCTTGCCATAAGGGGTTTGACTCTCTCTAACAAGCACCTTCCATCTCCCTGAAAAACTTCGAACCGACCTTATTTAAATTCTCCCATTTATTGTAGAAGCCAGGCAATAAAATGGAAGATAATTATTTTGGTTGAAATTCAGCTAAGGATAGAGAGCAGGGCAGAGGAGACTCAGAAGCCAACCCTCCCTTTCAGTGCCTGTTGAGGCTGGCAGAGCAAAGAAACTGGTTTTTGAAAAGGAAATGGTGACATTGGTAGGAAGTAGTAAGAAAGAGTCATATGGAGCCAGAGCAGGAAGGATTTGAAGGTACTCAAATATTCCAGCCTTTGAGGCTGTTACTTTTCTTCAGAAAAGACAAACTGTCTACTGCTTGAGCGATTTCCCAACGAAAAGCCAAAGCCTTGCTCACCCCCAACACAGATCTACATGAACACAAGTTTAATTCCCTAATGAAGCGATGGCAGAACTGACTCATCTGCTAAAATGATTTTTTTTTCAATAATCAGGACATTTTTAACCCACACATACCATGTTTTGCCTGCATGTGACACAAATTTCCTAATCAAATCAAATTTAATTTAGCAAGAATTTTCTCCAACCAGTTTATTTTAATGTGCATAAGAGCAGAAATGAAATTACCTAATATAAGAATTTGAGCAGAACTTCCTTTTTTTTTTTTTTAAATTCCATTTGAAAGGACGTGTTTCACGTCATTGGGAGTCAACTTAACCAAATGGAAAATACCAAGGCAGTAATTGTCTTCTCCATTCCAGTGACTGTGGGCAAGAGGTCCTCCTGGAGCCAGTGTTCTCAAAATGTCTTTTTCCTCTCTCTCTCTTTCTTTCTTTCTTTCTTTCTTTCTTTCTTTCTTTCTTTCTTTCTTTCTTTCTTTCTTCTTGTGTATAATGCAACATGTGTAGTCAGATTTCAGCGATTCCTGAGTGTGGGAATGAGGGTAAAATGGCAATAATTAAGGTTCAACTTATTGACATTTTTCACACTGATGTTTATAAGAAGCAACTGGGAAGGGCTTTTCACAAGTGGGATAATATCCTGGTTTGAGTTTTATCTCCTTTTCCTGTCTCCTATTTTCTCTATTGGTACCATTGAGTTAGTAACAGTTTTAAAAAATAAAAAAAAAATCAGTCTGGCCGAAAAATAGCAAACACTTTGATGTGCATATCATTTTTATTCTCAGTTTCTGGGCAGGAAAACTGAGGGAGAAATGAAGCAATGAATGCCTAAATCTTCATTGTGTTGGGTGTTAGCTGAGATCAGCCCATCTATAAGCCACCATTTGTAGAAAGAGGAGCAGTAGATTAAAACAAATCAACATATCATATATATTAGGAAAATAGCTAAATTTATGAAGAGAATAAATATTAGAGCCTTCCATAATAGAAAACCATAAACAATGACTTAAACACACACAAAGTTCTCTTTTCTCTCCAGATCAAGAGGCATGATTCTATGATCATCCAGCACTCAGACTTCTTTCTTGCTGAATTGCTTAGTCTTGGCACATGGCTTTATTCTCAAGGTTCCTTTTTGGATCAAGATAGTTGCTGGAGTTCTAGCCCTTGCATATAATTTCTAGGCAAAAATAAAAAATAAAAAACATGGAGAACAGGGAGATAAAAAGTACCCATTATCAGCTATGTGTTTCTACTGTAGAGGACCTTTTTAGAATTCTCTCTCACAATTTCTACCTATTATCTTGTTGGTTGACTCTATGGTACAAGAGAAGCTGGAAAATGCTACTGAGTACCTTTCCACCCAGGATGAAAG